AGGTCAGTTGTTTGCTTTGCAGGTAGGTCAGTTTGGAGGTGAAGAGTTCAAACACCAGGCACTGTGGAAGCTTTCTCTTATTAACTGTGAATTCTATCGAGCAAGAAGTTTGTAAAACTGTGCTTCGGTGCAACCAGCCAGTAAGAGGCTATTAAGTCGATTATCTGCGAAGAATACGGGCGGCGTGGTGTTCTGATGTGTTTGAGTGATAACCGAGTGCGAAGCATACAAACATACAGCCTTTCACCCTGACGCACGCCCCTTTCAGCTGCATGATGACCTTGAGTCATCTGATAGCTGTCTACAACCAGGGTGCAAGCTGCAAATAAAACGAGTTGACGACCAAACCGTATCTGAGTATATGCGTTGGGGAACGACGGTACGTATTAGCGGGTACTAATACTAATTTTGATACCGAAATCAGTCGTTCATTTCATTATTTGAAGTCATAAAGTGCCAGGCTTTTAGTTTTAAAACGCATAACAACGTCCATATGTACAGTACGCTATTGGCTAGCTTGTCAACAACCATACAACGTGGACAGTACAATGTCAAGAACTGACCGGCTGTTGACAGTACAGCGAGTAGTTTTTGACTGCAGGTGCTGCAGAGCAATTGGCCGTGTTTCTGGTGATCTTTCACTTGCTCCGTTTAAGATACGTTTTCTTGGTGCTGGCATCGAATTCGCATATTTCGACGTAAACGCTGCACCACGTTCTTCTGAGACTGTTAGGAAACTGACACAGAAGCAAACTGTAATCACGCATGTAAATTTTTTTACTGAAAGACTTCTTCGCACCGCACTAAAATATGGAAGATTGTGCAAGAGTTTGACACCGCTCTCTAGTGTACACGCGATGCTCGATAACCCAATTAATTTACCAGCTGTTCGACGTGCGAAACCTTAACTTTATCGCTTACTGTATTAAGCGTACAACTTTGTAGGATGTTTTTACGTATACATGTTCGGACTGGTAGCGTTGGCCACGCTGTGCACCAGGATCATCTTCAAGCAGGAGAAAAACGCGATATGCGGCTTGAAGCCGAGCGACTGCACGAAACACCCCATTTGGAAGGCAATAGGCAGACTGCTATTCGTCTCCGAGCCCATCTTTGACATAGTCCTTTCTGCGGTTAGTAATCGAAGCTCAAAGTTGTAAAGCTTGTCTGTTTTAAGGTCGATCGACACATAAGCAACGAGCTGAAGTCACTGTTGGTGAAGAACTCACCCGACTGGCTGACGGTCAACTACTGCACAAAACTGCTAAGCTCTGTCCTGAACGTTTCGGTGAACCTGCGCTCGCAGTTCAGTAGTGTAGACTTCATTATTCTGCAGTTCAAATGGATGTCGAATATTCTGCAGCGTCTTTGCTTGATTGTGTTCTTGTTCCTAGTTTTGGTGTCCGTGCTGTTCTTGTTGTTCATTGCATAAGTGGCGAAGCTAAGACAGTGCGACACCAAGCATTTCTGACATATATTTTGTGTGATTAGTACAGTTATGTTACAAAATCTGCTACCGCAGACACTACGTGCGTTCATGTCGGAGAAAGGCGACACATTACAGTAGATGATCAATAGGTAAAATAAATTTTTCATTAGAACAGTAATTACAGAAACAAATATTATTTTCTGCTCAGGGGGATAAAAAATTAATGAGAAGTTTTAGACTCATTAT